AGCGCTGCAGCCAGGTATTGCTCGACGCCTACGATTGCAAAACAGCAAAGACAAACAACAAGCAACAAATACACAACAAAACAGGAAAAACAAAACACAACACAACCCGCCAAGAACCATCGAACTATCAAACTATTCAAACACCCGGGAAACAAAAACAAACAACCAGAGCCTAGCCATCACACCATCACAACCATTCCAAACACCTGAGGAACAAACACAACAAACGGCCTCGATTGTAACCAGACACGGCCAAAAGGGGTCCCTGGACCCTCAAACTGCCAGTGAAGAATGGAGAGTGTTCCAAATGGACGGGAAAAATAAACGCAAGAAAAAGACAACGCGCGCACGCAACAACCTGCCGAACACCTGCAAAACACAAACGGCCCAAACGCAAAAAGCTCTTTTCGAAACAGTCGAACCAAAACGTTTTGTGATAGTTGTCTTTTGGCAATACTCCCAAATTGAGGAGCCCTGGTTGAGTAACAGTGAAGTGCCCCATGTTAGACGGAATCTTGCACTTTTGAAAAAGGCACCTGCGAATCCTGCATCATTCATCACACCCAAGGGTCTTTAAAAGGGGCCCTTTACCCAGACCTCCGGTAGCCATCCCCGCAAACTGCACATAAAAACAGGACATCGTTCCAAGTTCCTATTTTAAGGGGTCCTAGACCATACCCGTGAAAATCGGGAGATTGCTCCAAGAAAACGTGGGGACGTCTGGTTGATTGACGAGGGGGTGTACAATCATTCGCTTTGGACAAAACACTTCTCCTATGAATCCTGGGTTAGGACAACAGAAAATCGTCTCCAGCAAAATCCAACAAAAACAAAACATACATCACCGCGGTCTGGGTTTTCCTGCAAGGGCCAAGCAAAACACACAATCCACCCAGTTTAAGGGGGAGAGCAAAAGTGGGCGAGTTTGTTTTAATTGCTTTCTTGTCTTCGCCCCTGCATGGGTTTGCCTCCTGTGGAAGGTGTGAGCGGTTGTGCCGGCCAAATGCGTGAAGGGAGAAACAAAAACACGCGTTGCTTGCTTTTGTGGTTTTCATTTTTTGTGCTGAAGCACGGGCGAGGCCCCAAAACATTGTTTAGTTGATTTCAGTGAATCTCCATTCTGTCATCTCTTGCACACAGAGCTCAACTCTAACAGGTTGAGGATGCCCCTATTGAAATTCAGTCATATGGGTATGACTTTTTCTGAGAGCCTTGCTGGGTTTGAAGGGAAAGTGATGAATGAAATCCGCTTCGCACCAGTTGGGATGGATGAACCCTGGCATAAACCACCCTGCGACTGGTGCACGACTTTGTCCATCCAAGGTATGGGTCTTGGCGGTATGGACGCGTTTGTACCAATTCAGCTTGTAAGGCAGTATTCTTCCCTTACTGTGGACGGACGAAATCCATTTCGTACGCCTACAAACGCTATGGTTTCAACCATGGTTTCAACCTGTGAACGGATTTTGTCCATCCACAGTATCTCCATACCTCCGAAACCCAGCTGCCCGTAGAAAAAAGTAAGCTCAGGCGATATCCCCAACAGCATGCGGTGCTCTTTTTAGTGCTCGCACCACCCCGCAGCCCTCGCAGAACCTTGTGGAACCTTACCTCAGGGCCGCCCCGGACCACCCCGGAGCCTATCTCGGCTGAGACCCCAAAGCTTTCAGCTGTTGGGGGGAAAAAACAATTCGATGAAGCCATGGGATGGCAGAAGGCGTCGGACACACATCAGGTAGCACCTCATCGGTGGATTGGTGGTGTGGGAAGTTGAGCAGCTCCATTTCAAACCAAATGGGGAAGGTCCGCCCGGTCCAAACCACCAAACCAAACCACCAACTAGGAAGCCAAACTTCCAGCAGATTTCCCTGGAAAAAGTAGACTTGGCTCCTACTCCCTATTCTTGGTAGTTGAGTTTTGAAGCAACCGCCAAAACGAACAAAGAAGTGGAAAACGCCCAACGACAAAGGAAAACAGCAAGCGACTTCAGGAAATCCCCTCCGCAGTTCACATTGAAGGGTTGGCCATGCACTGCCTTCATCTTGCCCACGAAGACGTTGATGGCCGGGACGAAGTAACAATCACAGACCTCCGTTGAACGGGGCTGGGTCAATCTCAAAGACCCCCATAGTCTCCAGGGGTACCTTCCATTTCCATTCTGATGCTTTCTAGAAATCGCAGGAAACCCAGGGAAAATGGCGATCGGCATTTGAAAAGAACAATGGTTGAACAGAATTGGAATCAACCCCTAGAATAGTGGCTTCTTTTCTTGTTTCCCTTCACAAACAACCCAAAGGTTGAACTGAAAAAAGGCTCGTTTCTCAAGATTACCCAATCCGTGAAAGTAGATGGCACAATTCCCTTCATGTGGGTGAAGGGGGTGACTAAACCAAAATCCGGAGATTGTGCCATCTAACACCCTAGGCGGTAAGGGAAACCAGCTCCAAAAAGCAAATCGTCGCACAAAACGGGAGGGTCTTTTTTGGGACACCTTTGTGGCGGAGGCATGTCCGACATCTGCAATCTCACCGTAAGATCTGGCTGGTTGGCCGGTGGCGGGACGCTTGTTTGTTGGAGAAGGAGAAGCCGCATCCAACAAAAAATATGGGGGTACCTTTCACTTCCATTCTTTCCAGGGATCCTTCTTTCTAAAAAACCTCAAAAAAAACCAGGGGAAACGGCCGGTTTTTTTTTGAAAAGAACGATGGTTGAAAATAATGGAGAATCAAACCCTAGAACGAGGGAATCGCCCCACTGGAGGGCCTGGGAATATGCAGGGCGGTTTCCCTGTGCCAGCCCTGCACAAATATGCCAACTTCCCATCTCTGGCCCCATTTGTGGCTCTTCCAAAGAGATGCTCTTGGTGAGCTGTTGGATTCTTCTCCAACAACTGGGTCCCTTTCGGACTCCCCGCATACATGATCGTCTTGCGCGCAAGCAATCGGAATCAAAACCGCAGGCCTTTCGCGAGCGTCATGCACGCGGCAGGAGTCAAACCCAGCTGCTCGCGTTTGAATTTTGCAACGCGGGTGTTGCGTTGATGTGAGGCAAACCTAGATGGTTCTTGTTTTTGCAAGGATTGTTGTGCGTAAGTGGCTTGTGTTTGCTTCAAGAACAAGCGATTGTTCGTGCTTATGCAAAACAACTTGCTAACAGGCAGGTGTCTCTGTGCGTGTTCGACAAACGCAGACATGTTTCTCCTGCTGTTTTTTTTTCTTTTTCTTTCGACAAAAGACATGTTCGCGAGGTGCGTGGGTGCGTGCTAGCAAAACGGCAACATGTTCTTAAGTTGCCTTGGTCGTCTGAATAAGCATGTTCTTAAGCTGTGTTTATGGAAAAGGCGTGATAGCACTTGCCCAACGACATTGAGCTTGCGACCTTTGCTTTGGCCCCGCAAGGTAAACCTATTTTGTGTGTTTTGTCCCGCGGGCAAGTGAGGTCCGCTTGACAATTGAGTGTTTCTCAATATAAAAAAAACCCTTTTGGTTGGCATTTCAGGGGAAACGCGGAGGACAACCAGCCAAGCTTGGTTGGCGCAATTCGGGTGGGAAAAAACTGAGGTGGGGCTAAACCTTAACTACCGAGGTGCGGCTCATGGGAACTACTACTAAACACTAAAAGCTAAAAGGCTAAGGGGATGGCTGGGAGCCACCAAGTTCTTGACACAACTCGGTTGTGAAAAACCAGGGGTGGGCTCAAGCTTAACTCCATGCCACGTGGTGCTGCGCGAAGAACATGAAGGCAATGACGATGAACCAGAGGCATCCCACCGTTGTAGAAGGCTCCATGGCGACTCCTGTCCCAGCTGGGATCCTTGAGCCGAAGTCTGCCCGCTTTCAGATGGACCCCAAACGAAGAAACAGTCTCCCTTTTGGATTCCCTTTGAACCAACGTACCCTCAAAAAGCACATCCACACAGACATGGTTGCGGAGCCATGATCCTTTCTGCAATACCACAGCCCATTACCGATTCAGCTGGGAAGTTCATGGTCCTGAATGGGTTCTCCAGATTTGCGAGGTTAGAATAAGGGTACCAACTTGTTTTTTCTGTTGTTTTTTTGTTTAGTTTGTTTTTTCATTTTTCTTTTATCGGTTTTTGTCTATTTTCGTAGGGAACCCTCCCAACCAAAAAAGTTGGTGAGAAAGGGCACCTAGCTGGGGGACCTAGGCATAGTCACTGCTCGTCACCAGGCAATGGCTCCCGAACGAGGCTCTGAATCCGAAGCTGGGCGTTCCGAACCCACTTCCCCCGCGTTTAGGGGAAATCCCGCGCTTGCGGGGGCCGTCCCCAAGTTTCCACAAGTCGGCAGATACAAAACTCAGGTCCGCAGAACGTAAAGTGATAGGGCCATTGTCTAAAAAATCATCCCAAGTTCTGGGACCATTTTTTGTAAACCACACCATCCTTAAAGCCAGTCTTGAAGCCATTGACCAATTCGGCAGCACTCAGAAGCTATTGGTGCTTTGGCCGCCAAAGTCGGTTGAACTTCAGAGGGATGGGTGCAGACCCCAGAAACCATCCCAAAGGAGATGTGGGTTTATGGGATGGATATGTTCGTTTTGGGAAACGGCCCTAAACTCACGGACCCAACATTCCCATTTTTCAACCCTGCCATCACCCAGCTTAACGGGAAAAATACTCCATTGGCCCAACAATTGATGTTTCAACAGGCATTTTTACATTCTACACCTGAACATTGCAACTTGTAAATGGTGGTGTCCATTTCTTTATTTCGGTGCTGAAAAAGCCACATGTTTCAAATGGTGGCAAAATGGAGATTCCTTTTAAGGAGCCCTGTTCCAAAGAGAGCAAAAGGTAACTGAAACAAAGCTCTAGGTCCGCGGAGCGGACTTTTACTTTAAGGGGCCCTGGAGCCCTGGTTTCCTATGAACATAATCATGATTACATTGATCTGCAACACCATGGCCCTGTTCCAAAGAGAGACCTTCCCCTTTTGTCCGCTTGAAGCAAAAACACTGAGAGGAGCCAAGGGCCCGGCACTGAGGCCACCTCTGTCTTCACGGAGGTGAGCAGATCCGCAGTGGCGGCGCTGCTGTACTGCACTAAGACCTCGCGTTTTTTTTTTTTTTTGTTTGTTTTTTTTTGTGTGGTTATATATATTATTTATTTATTTATTTATGTATTTATTTATTTATTTAGTAATAGCCCTAAAGAAAAGCGTTGAACCAAAGAAAAGCGCTTATGTTCTTTTTCTTCTATTTTTGTTGTACACAGTCCTCCATTTGCTTAAGTCGCCTGGAACAAAAAATCCAGTAGTGATAGATTCCCTTTAAAACCTACAGGGGAACATAAAACAAATCTTAACCAAATGGAAGTAGTTCAGACTCAAAACATAAACCAAAACCCGACAATGTGATGTTCGGGTGTTGGGCAAATCACAATCATTTATACACCCTTCAGACAAAGCCAGGTGTAAAACATATGGTCTGCTTCGTCATTTCGAAATATCTGAGTTTCGGTGCAAATTCAGATTTGCAATTTGCGCCATGAGTTGAAAACCTTTGATCATTGGTTAGCAAGTTCATTCTGTATAGATTCATCGAAACAAATGAAACAAACATAACGTGACCCACAAAATTCACCAACCTGAAGTCACGTAAGACACCTTCATGGGTTTGAGGTCAAACAAAAAACACGTTTCGAGGTCGCGACTTATTTTGCCCAAATCTCAAATACCCAAACTTGAAAATGCGGCCTACCACTGAGCCTTACTAAGACTACCACGGCATCCTTGTCTGGAATGCGCCTTTAGGACTCAATTTCAATGTTCAAGCAATACTTAAAACTGCCAAAAGGGGGAATATGGAGAATCCTGAAAAGGCGAGGCTCATTTGTCTTCTAAGGGTTGTTCCCCATTCTCTTCACCCATTAATCTCTTTTGAAGGGATTTCCGAATAGAATAGGGAAGGCCCAGCTTGCCATTCAGAGCCATACTACGGGTTCACCGGGGTTCACCAAATCCTGAACCAGCTGGTAGGTGGTTTGGTCCCAATAGGGCTTCATCTATCCCACTTAGCTTCAGCATTTGGCCCAACGGAAGCCTGGTTCTGGTTCTGAGCCGCTGGCAGTGCTGAGCAGCGCAAAAAGGGTGGCTCTTGACGACATCGCCATCGCACCTGGGACGAAAAAACATGCCCCCTGGCGCGTGTGTGCGTGTAACCCGCCTGAGTGCGATCAATAGGGAGTCTCGAGTTGTTCTGACACAACTGCCTATCCCCCCTTTCGTTTCGCCAAACAAAACTCCCCCGGGTTTTGCCATGGAGCATCCAGAAAGCGCAGAAAGGGTACCTTTCTGAAAAGATTCCCCGCGGAGGCGTTTCAACGGAGGGAACCCAGGTATCCGGTCCTGAGTTGGTCCGCGCGGGAAAAAGGGGGACTATGCGATCCATCAATTGGAGGCCGGTCTTCAGGGGAATTTACAGAAAGTCTGGTCTTCTCGAGTCCGGATTATCGGTCCGCGCGGGACAAGCCGGAGAAAAATGGAGGGAGCCTTTTGAAATGGACCATAGGATACGTTGACGGAGCTTTGGAGGACTCCAGGGTCGATGGAATCCTTGACTGAAAGAGTCCAGACCAAAACAGGATGTTTTGAATAAGAAGCCTAGTAGGACCATCCCATTGCATCACACTTCGCAATCAGGTCGGAGCTCTTCTTGTTACGACTTTCTCCAGCTTTCGCCCCAGCGTACGCCTGCCTACTTGAGGCGCCTAAGTCTACAAACTACCCTCCAGCATGTGATGATATTTTTACAAAGCCACGTACGGCTGATACACTCAACGCCTCTTCTCGTACTGAAGCAAGGCTGCGCTCTGTTGAGCCCACAGCTTCATTCCAGTTCCGCCACAGCACGCCCTTCCGCCTCTATTTTTGTTGACCCTCGTCACTTTAAAAGACAGTTCGGGAGGAGAGCTCGTTGTTCTTGTTGGGTCATCCCTTTAAGGCCAAAAAACCACCGGGTCACCACTAGCCATTTTTCCTTGACATTGCTCCAAGAGGACATGGGAATCTCGGTTTTCATCCCTGAGTGCCCGCTTCCGGCTCCCAGAGCCTTGACCCATTCAGAGATCGTAGCTCGATTCGATTCGGGTCCACTGTGAACCCACACGCAGACTCAGATGCTGGGGGAACGGAGGCAGATGCAAGGGGATGTTCGGGACCTGGCTGCCAAGGAGGAATTGGACAATGTGAGCAAAGAAAGCCTAGACCCAGCCCTTCTTTCAGCTTGAAGTTCGAACTCCTATGGCTTTCAGCTTGGGGAAGACCACAAGCATCATGTGAAAAGAGATCCCAGGCACGTCACACAGGTCCGAACCTGGTGAAGCAGGGAACTTGATTTAAAAAAAACAAAAAAAAAAAACGCGACAAGCCCAGGTCCTCCAGATTTGAGCGGTTCGAATGAGGGTACCAACTGTTTTGTTCTTCGGTTTTGTCTATTCTAGTAGGGGAACCCTCCCGACCAAAAGGAGGTAAAAGGGCACTACTGGACCTAGAAGCAGCATGGATCTGCTGTCTAACAGAATTGCTGGCCTAAGAATTGGTCCCCACAAGGACCTGCTTGAAGTCAGCAGCTTGCCATCACTTGGCTCTGACCAGCCGTGGTCCAATTTGACACTTCCACGGGATTTCCAGGCGTCAACCCACAAAGACCCCTCGAGTCCGTGCCGGACCCTTTGCTTTTTACATACTCTCCTGGATTCCTCAAGAAGAAAATCAAGTATAGTAATCTGTCTGGAGGAATATTTAGCCATCTACTTGATTGCTCTTCAGCAATATATGCCTTTCCTCTTGAGAATATTTAGCCATCCGTCCGGAAAGGCAAAGACGAAAAAAATGTGATCCGTGAAGCTTCCATTGACGAGACGGATCTTTTTTTTGGGGATGCGGGAAAGCAAAAGGCCATGCGCTTCCGGTCTAATCGAATCAGCCAAGCCCTGCTAAAAGTGAATAACTTTTAGTGGTTTAATACGGAAAAACCCATCAGTTGGCAAAAAGTTAAAGTCCTAACATCCCTTGGCACCATGAGGGAGGTTTTTTTTTTGGGGGGGGGGATGTTGGGAGGTTTTTGTTTAATAATTGGGGGGGGGACCCGTATTTATTAATAGGGGGGTGAGACTAACCCACGGGGGTTACTACTGGTTGAACAATGAAGCCTGTTGCCCCAACGAACTCGGGGCTTGGCATGCGTACCGTGGGCTCACGGATCAATGCATGTTCCGAGCGCGCGGCGAGGCAAACCCATCCCGGAGACACGTTGGTGCACCAAATGGCTTGCAAATGAGAACTGCGGGCGGTCGGTCGACTCCACAAATGGATTTGCCCCCAAATTAGAGACACTGGTCCTGCAAACTGCGGCAGCAACGATTTCGATCTCGTTCACCATCAAAACTGACCGAAAGGGGATTCCCAAAACAGACACCCGAAAGACTTGAAGGAACCCAAATTGGTTGGTCAACTTTACAGCGCATGCAGGGTTTGCGAGGAACCCCATAAAGACAACCACGGAACCCAGAAGTCGTTGTCTCTGAAGGGAGAGTTCCGCACGGGGCCACAAATGTATGCCTTCGCCCAATGCCAAATCCTGGAGCAAGCAAATACCGGACAGGAAGACCAGGAAAACAAAAACGCATATGTCAAACAACCAGGTGCATCACTCACAGACCTGAAATTGGTTGCAATCCCCAAGGGACATTGTGGGCGTTAGCCATGGTGAGCTTGTTGAATAACTTCGCACCAGAATCCAGGAATTGAATGCAGTACTATTCTTGTCTTTTTGTTTGGCGGGGGGGGGGGGTGGGAAAACGAAGGTTTTCCAGCAAGATCATCTTAAAAGGACTACCCTGGTTAATCAGTTAATCCATGGCCAATCTTCGGTTCGCGTCTCCCATGTGGAAAGTTGCAACGATGCAGGACTCACATTTCTGTTCAACCCGGCGAATTGGGGTTTCACCTTGCAAAGAAATAATGGCACATCAAACCAGGGCAGTGTTTTACCAGTCCCTGGCTGGTCAAAGGCTTGAAAAGGATTCTCACTAAGTTTGATCTCCAACAGGGTTCCCAATATTTCCTCTAAAACCAATAACCACCAACGAAACGCTCAAAAGTTTCATGGGCCAAAAAGGGTTGATGTTTCAAACCCCAAAAAGTCGGATCATCACTCGGGACCCTCCAACGTCTGAGGTTCGGCCGAAGGTCGAGTTCGGTGATCCGTGGGCCTTCTGGCTTGTGATCTTCGGGAGTCTCGGACGTCAGCGTCCCATGTTTGGTGGTTTGGAGCGAGCCGAAGCGGTGGTTCGGTGAAATGGACGTCTTCCGTTTCTCTACGAATCTACGGACCCGTTCAAATCCCCAGCCACCAGAAAAACACCTTGTTGACCCTCTGCAAAATCCAGGGACCCGGTCAAATGACAAACCACCAATCCAAACCGCCAACTAAGGGTTAATTTCCTGAAGAAGTGGGTTGTAACCTGCGTTGCGCGTAAGGGCCAAGCGCCCAAGTGGCAAAAGAAGGGAGCCCGGGCCAAGCTGCAAAAAGGGGAGGTATGCAAAGCCGGAGTCCACGAGTGCAGAGGTCACTTTTTGGCGATGGATAAAGCTAGCTTCAGTCGACAGATCGACGTCCGCGCGTGGGACCGAGCCTCTGCCAAACATAGCAAGCAGAACACTTTGACTCTTCCCAAAACTTCATGCCAGCATTTCGTGGCAAGCGCGGCTAAAGCAGTGCAGACATTGCATTTTAATGTTGGACGCGAAGGTTCTCCAAACACCCAGAAACAGCAGAGTTTCCGAATCTACCTTTAGCTTGCCTTCAAACCAACTAATTTGCAGACATATCCATCCTGTTTGGTGTCTTGTAAAAACAAGAGAATATGGGCTATTCAGCACCCAGCAAGAAGGTCATGTACGTTCCTCCATGCCTTCAAAGACCATGTCGGAGACGTTTTACTTATTCCAATTAATGGCGTCTCCTTTTGCCGAATCGGTTGGGACAGGTTCATGAAGGTAGGCGCAAGGGGTTCCAAGGTTGTGTAAGGCGTAGATTTGAAGGCTTCCAAGGTACACAGGGGGTGATGTGACCTGCCAAGCCCGAAGTTCCGTTGGTGCATCTTATGAGACGCCTGGTTTTACATGGTGATCCTCTCCTCTTGTTGTTGAGTAAGGGGTTGGCCTACTCGATACAGAAGTCATTGGGCCATCGGAGATGCCCATCCAAACGATCGATCTCAGTGAGGTGTGGATCCTGGAGCTATGTGTCGTAAAAGCCCAACTCTAAACCACGAATCCAAGACATTTCCCTACATGGGTCTGAATTTTATTTAGGGACCCTTTGGCGGACATCAGACTTCGGCAGAGATCCATGTCCACCAACTTTTGAGGTTCCCTATTAAAATTCATGGACACTTGTCCCTTTTCACCATGCCGCCAAAGGGAGCTCTTGCAACTTGGGCCCCTGTCTGAGTCTAAACCGTTCCAAAGGAGGAGGTACAGGGAGCCCTGCAAAAGTTTATGGTTCGCTTACGCATCGCCATTCATGACCTTGGGCTTTGATGACCATTGCCTAGTGCTAACTTCCTGAGTGTGACCCATGTCATCCCTTGACGTACATTCGTGAATCTCCTCAAATTGCTGGACCTCTTGTTGGAAATCTGAATGGACGCCCAAAGAACACCATACCATCCGTGGCATCTATGTTCTGGGCTACCCTCAGATCCCCTGCTAAAAGATTTTAACTTTTAGTGGGTTACATGGAAATCCCCACTGAACCCTATTTGTTTAAAAGGCTGATGAATCAGCCGCACGGCTAGCCACCAAGTGTTGAGACACCTCCCAGAGAAGAAAAAAAAACTGCCTCTCCGCACTGGTCACCTGCAAGTCTGCTTTCTCTCGAAACGGGGCCCGTATTCCGCGACCCGGAAGCCGAAGCCGAAGATGAAACCAAGCCCCGGCTTTGTCGGAAGAGCTTCTGGGAATTTGGTTTTTGGTCTTTTTGTACTCCATCCTGACTATTGCAATCTGTCACAAAAAAAAATGTGACCTCACCAGACATGGCAAACCATGGGAGCTTGGCAACATGGACAAAAGAAGCTCAGCCAAATACGAAATGATATCCTGGCGTTCGGTTCGGCCATTCATGCCTGGTACCAACATGAACCCTGGTAGGTCAGGTTAGGACATCAACGCCGGTACCAACATAAACCCCACGGCCCACGCCTGTGATATAGCCTTGTGATTTTCGAGAGGATTCACACAAAATTACACTAAAGCGAAGTTTCACAGCCGTGTATCCTGACCTGAGTGGACCGGCCAAACAGTTTAAACTCATTGGGTCTTGGCAACAGAGAGAGGAAACCGGTAAGTTAGGTTTGCCAACAGGTAAGTCTAGTCTTGAAGCGCATGGCACCTGCAACTACACTACCGGATGATCCTTCTCAGTAGAAAATACCCCAGTCTTCCTGGGCGTTTGCGGCCGTTTTTCTGAGAAGGATCCCTGAGAATGGGAAGGATACGATAAGAACAACTAGAAAGTTCCCACATTTACCTGAGAGAAACTGCCAAAGGATCCTTCAGAGTGAGCTGCTTGTATCCCCGACTGTTCGACTGGTCAATAAATTGGGTGGCACTTCCACGATTGGCCAACACAAGACCAAACTTCGAGATTTGTTGCCACTACCCAGACCTCCAAAGTTGATTGACACCTCACTTCCTGAGTTGATGGCCCAACAAAAGTCTGAACTTCTTGTGTACCACTAAAATGGTCTTCGCAAAAAGGTCTTCCAAAAGTCCATGAACTCAGGGCTTTGAGACCATCTGCCCGGTGATCCGCTTAGTGCTGCGTTCAGGTGAAATGGGTCCGATACATGAGAAAGCTCCTTTGGAAGCAAGCTGCTGGCTCAGGTGGCTCAGTTCAGCCGCTTCCAAAAATCCGAAGGTTTTCGGTGCCCATGGCCTTTGCCTCTGAACACCTCCGAAATTCGGCGAGCTCCGTAAGGGACAGGGGAAAGACAGTTGGTCTCTGGGACACGGGGGGCCAACATGGGCCAACTTACATACCCCAAATGGTACCAAAATGTGCAGCCCTTCTCCCACAAAATCCTCTTGGGGTCAGACATCATATATCTACTCTGCGGCTCAATTGGGCATCAAGCTTTAGATGCTCAATTCTCGCCATCATTCCATCGGCAGCCATGACAATGACCTCAGAGCTTTTGATGTTTTAAACGTTGCCATGGCCCCGCTGGACCGCCTGCAGCTACTGAACTAGGTCCTCCAGTGAAGAGGTTACAATAAGTTGGTACCAACTTTGTTCGGTTTTGTCTATTTTAGTGGGGGAACCCTCCCAACCAAAAAAGGGGTGAGAAAGGGCGACCTACTGAAAAACTGATATCAACTAGCTGTGTGGTGCACTGGTGCACTGCATGGATCGGTTGAGGTTTTGCTCTTCGTGGCAAGCGGGACGCAAACAAAGCACTGAGTGTCTGCTGAACTGCAAACCATGGAGTCTCGTTTGCATCCAGACGGGTCCCTGCAGAGCGATGCCCTTCTTTTCCCCATCATAACTGCAGGTCTGGGCACCATGGCCTCTTCCCAGTCTGCTAAGAATTGGTTGACCTTACGGACTCGCCGACGTCTACAGCTAGGCCTAGGCATGCTCCCAGACCCATAGAGCAAGACACAAAAACTCGACACTCCTTTTGGTGACATGTTGGGTTAGAACATACTCTTCTAGGTCCTCCAGGAGAGAGGTTAGAATGAGGGTACCTTTTTTTTCTGTAGTCTATTTTAGTAGGGGAACCCTCACAACCAAAAAAGGGGTGAGAAAGGGCACTACTGGGGGACCTAGTCTTTAGGATCTTAGGCCCACGTAGGCTTAGAACATGTTAAACCTCAGCCTTCCGATTAGCACAAGTGTTAAGCAAGGATAACCTGCCTACACTGCAAAGCTCATGCCAAAACACATCGGTGGATGCCCTAGATAGAAAATCCAAGCGGTGAACATGGATCGAGCTGGGTATGACCATTGCCTTGTGGTTCTGTGTGAGTGGATTTGAAATAGATTCTCCCACAAGTTGCTCACAAAAGGACCAACCAGTCCCAGCAAAGGGCTCTAGTTTTTCCTGTAAAACACCTTTGTTTTGCGCTGACAAGCAAAATGTTGCTCACACATACCCATGCTTCCAAGCCTAGTCCCGGAACAGCAAGAGCTTTCTGAAAACCTGCGCTCGCCCTGGTTCCTGCTTCTCCGCCCCCCCCCCGCAAAAAAAAAGAAGAAAGAAAAAGAAAAGAAA